ATGTGTTGAACGCGATGAATTTTTTTCAGAGTTTTCTATGACTCAGTAATATTCACTGTACCATCAACTGGTGGTTATGCCCACATTATTGTTAACATAGAGAAGGTGGGTATAGCACGGGGAGCTGTCATTAGCATTAATAAAACATGTATGCTGTGTGGGAATTAGCGTTATGGATTTAGATAATTTTAAGATTTTCTAAATTTAAAATTGTTGGAGTGTATGATACAATTTACCCTTTTTACCCTTTCTTAAAACAATAATGTAAAAGCCTACTTGCTCTGGGAATGAACCTTCTTGTCAAAACAGGAATTAAAAGGTAAATGTCGCTTTTGTATAAGAAACCTGAGTGCTATTCTCCCTGCCAGCTGTCCTGCAGTGTGGGTTGTTTCATTAGTGTGTGTTGTTTCATTAAATTAAACGATCTGTTGTTCTGCAAAACTTTTGAAGGTATCAGCTTGACTTATAAGTAAAACTCTTGTCTCTGGATGTTAAAGATTCTGTGATACTATTCAAAAAGAGAAGGAGATTTTTGCCAGTGTCCTCATCAAAAATCCTGCAAGAATAATTAGTCATAATAATAATCCTTACATTTATTATAGCGCCTTTTCACATCTTCACAGAATATACTGTAAAGTGAATTAACTATATTTTGTGGGCGAATCGCAGCAGCTAATTGCACACAGCAGTGTTCTACAAACAGTTGTGGATTGAGTGACCAAATTATTATTATTTATAATAATTCATTATATGGTCAATCATCTCCTGGCTGGTTTGTTGACAAAAACAACTTGCATTTATATAGCACCCTTCATGCAGATAGCATCTCGGAGAGTTTAACAGTGGTGGAGCTTTACACCAAGCTGGGGAGAGAGGGGAGGTGACTAGGCACAGTCAAGGAGGAACATACTTGTGTACTTGGGGATCTTGCTGAATGCAATAAGGCTGTCACATTTGCCATCAAAAAAGGCCCTACACTAGACAATAATTACTGTAAAACGCTTTGAGACCTTTTGATAAAGATACTATAAAAATTCAAGTTTGCATAATGCCACACTGAGCCATGCAGATCAAGAGGATTCCCACATTTAATCCCTGCTCTGTGCTGAACTGGATTATCTCAGCCAAGATAGTAATAAAGATAATAAACAATAATAGCCCTATAATGTCCAAATGTCTCAAGCTCCTTCAGAGTAAATACTGTTAAGTGTAGAAAATGTATTTGTAGGTGCACAAGGCAACCAATTTATCCACACAAAATCTCATAAACAGCAAGAAGATGAATGACAGATTTATTTTTGGAGAATTATTGATCAGGTTACCGGGAGAAACTCCCTTCCCTTTTAGAATAATGTCATGAGTTCCTTAACATCCACATAAACCGGTACACCAGACCCCGGTTTAATATCTCTGACAGTGCTGGGCTGCCCAATATGGCACAAGGCCGTGTGCAGCACAAAGTTCTCAAAGTGGGGGTTGAAACCACAACTTTCTTACCCGGAGGTGAGAGTGCTACCGTTGAGCCAGGCTGATACCTGGGTGTTGTAATTGGCCGTAATGTTAATGGCGAAGGAAGAAAGATATTCAGCCAAGATTCCCCTCTGGGCAGGATCAGGCTCAGCCGGGGAGCCCCATGTGGTCCTATATCCAGCTACAGCTTACTGGTAGAGTCAAAGTGGAGAAGAGGACTTGATGAGGTGGAAGATACCCTTTTTGTTTTAGTCAGAGAAGTTGTATTGACTAAACAATTAACTTGTTTGTATGAAATTGTAACCGAGTACCATCCCGTTAGCTTCTGCTCTTAGCTGAGGTGGTTTCCTTAATAGGCAGAGCCAGGAAGCATAAAGTGTTTCAATAAATAATAATAATAATCTTTGCATTCAATATAGCACCTTATCACGTCTTTGAGACTTCTCAAAGTGCTTCACAGAATATACTGTAAAGTGAATTGACTGTATATTTTGTGGGTAAAATAAAATATAAACATGGAGGTTGCAGCAGGTGGATTTCATGTGTGTTTTGTAGGGCAGGGAATGTGCGTTCATTATCCTGTGAGGGTGAGTTCACTACCTTTGAGATTGTAGCTGCATACTTTTATTTTTAAAGTCCCTAATGGCTTCTGATAGTTCTCTCAATTGCCTGATTATCTTTCCTACTGTGTTTTAGAAGAGATCAGAACAGCTTGGAGCCGTTTTTTCATGCTGTGATTTGCAGCAAAACCAGAATAATAAAGCAGCAAATGGATGAGGAGATTCAACAGGAATGTGAAGAAATTGTAACTTGCAACAGATTGTAGGAGAAATTTGCAACACAAAGATGCTCTGTACTCACAAGGTGCTTTCACAACTGATGCAAAGCCACACGTGCATTTGTGACATTACATCCCCTGAAAGCTGAGTCCTGCCGAAGTCAGTAACCCCTGAACTGAAGCATTATTGAAATAGTACATACAGTACAGCGTTTAAAAACTTTTTTTGAATTTTCATTAAAACTCAATTTTTAAAAATATTAATGAGATTTTTGAATCCACAGAGAATAGTTTATTTTGCAGTGGATGGAAATGATCTGGTATGGAGTCCTGTAGCTTAGCGGTTAGAGCACTTGTCTCGCAAGTGAATGGACTTGGGTTCGATTCCTGGGCAGGGTGAAACGTTGGGCAAATTTCCTTACTCCACACGCCTGTTTATCTAGCAGGAAGTTGTCAATTGGCAGATCGCTTTCCAGGGGTAACAATCCCTTAAAAGATATAATTTGGTCACTCAGTCCACGGCTGTTTGTTGGGACACTGCTGTGCGCAATTGGCTGCCGTGTTTCACCCACAAAGTATACAGTCAATTCACTTAGCAGTATATTCTGTGAAGCGCTTTGAGACGTCTCGAAGACCTGATAAGGCGCAAGGATTATGATTAATTTTATCATTGTACCAACCTAGACTTTGCAACAACTCCAAAAGTTTTGAGGTAAAACTGTTACAGAAGATGTCGCACTGAACTTGGCGATGGTTCATTATCTGCCATGAAAATGATGGTGCTCACACTGATCCTCTGGCCTTCCGGACATCTAGATACAGTTAAACACTTGTACTGAGTACAATTGAGTACAGTACTTCTATATACAATTATCATTATTCTTCCTCATGTTTTTGTTGTCGCACTGTGTAAAAAAAAAAGGTGGGGGTAACAGGACTTTGTGGAGACCCTGTAGAATATTCATTGTCCCTATTCAGACAATTCCCCTCCCCCCAGCAGAAATCATTGCTTTCCATTTACCTCAGTGTGCACTAATCCCTATATCCTCAGATACTTATCCAGTTCTTTTTCTATGTAGTAGTTAATTGATGTAGTATTCAACTGTGCTTGTTGGGAGTCAGTTCCAAACATCCAACACTCTGCAGGAACAAATCTCCTGTAGTCTTAAATCTCACTGGAAGCTTTTAAATTTTAATCCTGTGTATTGCTCCCACCATCCAACTCACATGGCCTGCTTATATCGTAACCATAGTATTCTCGCCTCTCAGTCAGATGGGTTGTGGGTTCAAGCTCCACGTTGGGTCTTGGAAGTCATATAGTCTGTGCTGACACTCCAGTGGGGTGCTGGGGGTGTTCTGTATTGTCGAGCTGCCTTCTTTCGGATGAGATGTTAAATCAAGGCTCCATCTGCCTTTTCAGGTAAATATTAAAGATCCCATGGCACTCTTCGGAAAGAGAAGGGAGTTTCTCCCAGTGTCCTGTCCAACAATCTGCCAAATAAAATTGGTTATTAATTTCATGGTTATTTGTGGGACATTCTTGTACACATTTGGGCTGCCAAGTTTGCCTACAAAATACAGTCATTCTATGGTGTATCCAATCAGGAGCTTTGAGATGTCCTCCCTATGTCAAGGGTGCTCTATGAAATATAAGGATTATTATTATTATGCTATATGTATTCCAGCATTTCGCTATCCTTTTGTTGTGCAATATGCATTATCTTACATTTATCCACATTAAATACATCTGCTACTCCTTTTCCCTGTTTTTAATTGCTCTACCACCTAGAATACCAATTATCCTCCATACATTAATCATCTGCCCATAGAGCTTGGTATCATCAGCAAATTTTATTATATTACAAGATATACTCCCCTCCACATCCGTCATGAATGGTGCGAACAGCAGGGGCCAGAGCAGACCTTTGTGGAACTGTATTGGTGATTAACTCCCAGACAGACAATTTCCATTTATCATCACCTTCTCCTTCCTATCCCTCAGCTAGGCTTCAATCTGAAAAGCTAATTTACCAGTAATTGCATGAGCTTTAACCTTCTTTAAAAGTTTCACACGTGGAACCTTACCAAATGCCTTCTGAAAATCTAAGCAAATTGGATCAATAACATCCCACATAGTTCTCTCAAGCATTTTTACTTTGTTCTCATTTGTGCTGGGAGGAAGTTGGCTTCCCTGGAATATGAAAGCCGGCTATGTTTAATGGGCTAATGAGGTGTTCTACTTTGTTTTTTCTGCTTCTTCATTAGGTACAATGATTACTTTTGCAAACATTTTTGCAAAATATGGCATGCAAAGAGATCACTAGAATGAATAATTAAATACAGTCCTGGGGAAATGATCTTTTCTAAATAATAAATGCCAAAAACTCATTGAATTATAACTCTTAAACCAGTCATACAAAAAACAGCCTTGTAACCTGCACCAAATATAAAGTTACTTGGGCCTTTGAGTTGGGTTAGCTGAATACAGTCGCAAATAAAAATAAATGGTGTCGGACCAGATAATGGAGCTCGGTTGTATGCCTGTGATAAATAATTAAAGCTTCTTGTCAAGCAGATTTATATTGCTGTGGGAAATGCTTTCCTCTGCTCTTTGCCTGCTCAAGCTTCAGATTCGTCAGCTGATAGTTATTGACAAGGCTTATGCTTCATGCCTTTTTAATCAGTGTGTAAGCAGACTGACAGACATTTTGGTGTTAACTTTTACAAGGTCTTTGTTTCTTTCTGATTGCAGCTGGTGCTCAGGACAGGATTGGCTATGCATTTGGCCTGGGGCTGGAGAGACTGGCTATGATTTTGTACAGTATACCAGATATCCGCCTGTTCTGGAGTGAAGACGAGCGGTTTTCCAAACAATTCCAGGTCGCTCATGTTGACCAGAAAGTCTCATTTCAGGTAAAAAAAAAGAAACCTGGGCAGTCCCATGTATATTTTTTTACACTTTATGTGAAGCCACATTGCAAAGATGCCTATAGTTTACATCAGTGGCTCACAGTGGGAATGTTGCATCATACATGTTTGAATCATTTCCTGATTTCAGCTTTAGGTATAAAGTTATAGTTTCTTGCTTTTTAACTTATTTTGCTCTTATGTTGATGCAGTTTTATATTGGTGTGGGAAATGCCCCCTCATCCCAACCCTGCCCCACGCTTGGGTCCTGATCTCTGACTGTTCAGCGCCTTGGGATATCCTCTCAATGTGAAAGGCAACAACAAAAACAACAACAAGATTCCATTTATTGAGCGCCTTTCACATCGGGAGGACGTCCCAAGGCGCTGTACAGTTGGATCAGGACCCGAGCAGAGGGGAAATGGTCAGGGTGAGGGGAGGGAAGGGAGGGAGCGAGGAGGGGGTAGAGAGTCGAGAAGGGGAGCTCAAGGCACGGTCAAAGAGAAAGGTCTTGAGACCGGCCTTGAAGGAGGAAAGGGAGGAGGCGGCGAAGGCACTGGGGGATGGAATTCCAGAGCCTAGGGGCTGAGAGGCTGAAGGCCCGGCCACCGATGGTAGGGCGGTTGGGGCGGGGGATGTGGAGCAGACCAGAGCCAGAGGAACGGAGGGTACGGGCAGGTAGGTAGGGGAGAGGTAGGAGGGAGCAAGGCCATGAATGGCCTTGTAGGTGAGGATGAGGATCTTGAATTCGATCCTCTGGGGGATGGGGAGCCAGTGGAGGTGAGCGAGGGTGGGAGTGATGTGGTCGCGAAGCCTGGTGCGGGGCAGTACACGAGCTGCAGAGTTCTGAATGACCTGCAGCTTGTGGAAGGAGGTGCCGGGAAGGAGAGAGTTCCCATAGTCCAGCCTTGAGCTGATAAAGGCGTGGACCAGGGTTTCAGCAGCGTGAGGGGTGAGGTAGTGCCGTAATCTGGCGACATTCCGGAGATGATGGAAGGCGGTGCCAGTTGTGGTGCGGATATGAGGGAGAAAGGACAGCTCAGGGTCGAACAGAACCCCGAGGTTCCTGACGGCTTTGAGAGGTGGAGAGTGCAGCCTTGGATGCTGATGTTGTCAGCGCCTGAGGTGCGGAGGCGCTGACGCGAGCCAATCAGGAGAAAGGCACTTTACAAATGTAATTTTGTTGTTCATTTGCATTTTCACCAAACACAAGACCTACAACCACCAGCTATGCTGTGTAACAGCCGTCTACATTGAGGGGCTACAGGAGAGGGGTAAAACAATAATAATAATAATCCTTGCATTTGATATAGTGCATTATCACGTCGTTGAGACGTCTCAAAAGCGCTTCACAGAATATACTGTGAAGTGAATTGACTGTATATTCTTGTGGACAAAACGCGGCAGCCAATTGTGCACAGCAGTGTCCCACATTCTGCTTGTCCTTTCATCTGTCCCTCAGATTGTTACTGAAATCAGGATGTCAATGGGGAAGCGGTGGGGGGAGTTATATTTTTTTTCTCTCCTCTCTTGGTATGAAAGGACTGGTAAACATCTTGCATTCAGTGCATTGTGACCTCCATCTGGGTGACTATAATGGAAGGTATTTCACATTGTACCTTGTCGCAAAGAGAATCTAGGTTGGAGCTGATGCCTTTATTCCCAACCTTGTGCAATAGTTGTGTTTCCACTCTGTCTACGTCTTCACAGGCCACAGGCTCTGCATATGTTTTAAAAGGGAATTAGATATTATAGATATTATTCATATAAAAGTAACATACCACAAAGGGGTCTCTTTTAATGTGATTTATGAACATTGTATATATTTTGCCACCAACATACGGTATTTTGGTTGAACATTAACATGTTTGTTCACCCATGATATTGCTTAGGCCCCTTGCAATATTAGTGAGTTTTTTAAGACAGTGTTCCTATTTTTTCTGATTTTCTCCCCGTGGGCATTTGCCTCTCTGTCTCTGGTCTAGTCTCCTCTTGACCTACTTACTTCCCAATCCACTACCTGTTGTCTCCGCTCGACTGGCTCGAGCCTCCTTCTTGTCCCTCGCCCCGTCAGTTCCACCATCTGTGGCTGTGCTTTCGGCCACCATGCTCCAAAACTCTGGAACACTCTCCCTCAATCCCTCTGCCTTGCCCCATCCTTTCCCATCTTCAGGTCATGCGTGAAGACCTTCCTCTTCGATCATGCTTACGGTCACCTCATCCTTCCCCCCCTGCTTAGCGTCATGCTCCACCGCTGTGAAGAGTTCTGGGACTCTACCTATGCGAGGGGTGCTATATAAATGCAAGTTGCTGTTGTGATTTTGAGGATGCTGTTGCCCTCCAGTGCCCGGCCCAATTGGCCATTGTTTTGCGTGCTGCAAATTTCTATAGTTCTTGTGATTCCTACAATAGGGTCCAAAACGTGACGATTCTCAACAGGATTCACAAATAATGGCTCAGCATCACTAATGGAGAAACCTGCCAGAACCTGGCCAACTCACAGCATCCCTGCTCTGAAGCACTGTTAGTAGCTGTTAATAGAGAGTAGGGTTCCTATGAGTCCTGCTGAACCTCTGTGACATACTGGACCTTCATTATTGACTCTGGAATCTGTTAGTGGATCCCATTGCAAGCTTGATACTTTTGTTCACTCCAGTAATCTTTATTCATCACATGGGAAAGCAATCAAAGTTCCCATCAAATTATGGTTGGCCTCACCAGTGGGATATCTGTTGTTGCATTCCTGACATTCCAAACCCCCCCAAACCTACGATAGGTCAGTTCTTTCACTCAGCTTCGGAGTTCTGAATGACCTGCAAGGCCTCTCATTCGCGCTCTTCTCGGCTCTGAGCAACAAAGCTAATACCATGTTTATAATGGGAGATTGCTGCCCGTGTCAACAATAACAACTTGCATTTTATAATTACAAGCGTCAAATATTTTAGATGTTTTGTAAGCTTGTCTGTCTCACTCCGAGATGCTACCCCGTGTGAAGGACGCTATATAAATGCAAGTTGCTATTGTTGTTATCTCAAATCTACATTTCCGAATTCAGAAGTGAGCAGCCGCTTGTCTGTGGTGGAACAGATTGATTGACAAGCTTTTCTGACAAAATATACAAGGCGCTATATTCCTTCAGCAAAATGCTTTTGGGAACTTTTTCCTATATTTGTGGAATCACCATAGGGATGGAAGCAGTGAACTTTATGAAGCATGCATTTTTTAATGTTTAAAATGTGACTTTCAGCATTTGTTGCAATGAGTGATAACAACTGCTTGCTTTCCACCTTTTCCTGAACATCCAGTACTGGTTTCTATAGTGCTGTGCCAAAAATGTTGCCCAGAATTCAAGTCAGTCATTTATTGGGTGAACTGTGATGCAGCAACTTATGCCCTCATAAATTAATTTATGATAATATTAATACTTAACCCTTACATTTAGTATAGCATTTAAAATATACAGTCAATCCACTGCAGTATATACTGGGAAGAACTTTGAGCTGTCTCAATGACGTGATAAGATGCTATATCAAATGCAAGGATTATTATCGTAGCACCTTTCATATCAAGATGATGCCCCAAAACTTCGCAGGATATACTGTAAAGTGGAGTGACTGTTTTGTGGGCGAACTTGGCAGCCAGTTTGTGCACAGCAATGTTCCATGCACAGCCATGAAACATATTAGGAATTTGATGTTCACTGTCCATTATTGGGATAAATTTGCTGAGGTGAAAGAAAGTTGCGTATATTACAATTCCTGATACTGATCTTTTCTGGTACTTAGGAAATGAAATCTACATATTGGTAATATTAATTAGGACAATAATAGTGCGGGTCACTCAGTCCATGACTGTTTGTGGGACACTGCTGTGCGCAATTGGCAGCCGCGTTTGACCCACAAAATATAGTCAATTCACTTTACAGTATATTCTGTGAAGCGCTTTAAGACATCTTCACGACATGATAAGGCACTATATCAAATGCAAGGATTATCTATTTCACTCACTTGAGCAGAGAAGAGACATGAGGTTGTAGTATAACATAATAGAGGCTACTAAATTTGTTACATATCGAATATATATCAAATGCTATATCAAATGCAAGGGTTTTTATTATTATTATTATTACATTGGTGGACTTGTAAGGGAGCAGCCAGTGCACAACTAGGTTGGCCCAATAAAAATTGCATCATTAAGCACTTGCATTATGAACTGCACTGCAGTGTATGTATTTTTAATAATGTTTCTAGATATTATGTATATATTGCACTTTCATTTAACGACAACAAGATTACATTTGTATAGTGCCTTTCACGTCGGGAGGACGTCCCAAGGCGCTGGACAGAGTACAGCATTTCAGACCTGAGCTGGGTTGGGGGGGCGAAGGAGGGGAAGGGGGGTGGTCGATGGCATGGTCGAAGAGGAGGGTCTTGAGGCGGGACTTGAAGGAGGCTAAGAGGGGGTGAGGCGGAGTGATTGGGGGATGGAATTCTTGAGGTTGGGGACAGAGTGGCTGAAGGCTCTCCCGCCAATGGTGGGGGGGCCATGTGTTGGGGGACATGGAGCAGGCCGGAGCCGGCTGAGTGGAGGAAACGGGCGGGTTGGTAGGGGATTAGGAGGTCGCCGAGGTAGGGTGGGGGGGTCCATGGAGAGCTTTGTATGTGAGGACCAGGATCTGAAGGATAGGGAGCCAGTGGAGTCGGGCGAGAGTGAGGGGGTCACGGAGTTTGGTGCAGGAGAGGACATGAGCTGCAGAGTTCTGGATTATCATTTATTTAATTTATTTAAGTATCATTTATATTTACAGTTTGAAAAATCATTATTATTTTGATGCTGCTTAAACGATCTTTCAGTTACCTGATGCCCATTATTTTTTGTGTGGTCAGAAGATGGTCGTATGCACTTGTTCTTGAACATACCCAGTAATTATAAGCTTCCAAGGATAGCATAGTATCAATCTTTTTCATTAAGTATGTAGTATCTCAACCTTTGTTTCAGTGAGTGTT